TTCACTACAAATGTTTACATTGTTCATCTGACCTTGGAACTCGCATATCCAAGTAAGATCCCGTCTTTGGCGATGTTTCTTGCAACTTTCCTGCATCCCGCTGCTCTTCCTCTGTAATACGTCTGTAGCCTTGTGCAAACCAAACCATACTTTGCATTTTCCTACTTCCTAGCGACGTAAACATTATGTACGAAAGGAGAAGAGTTAATCAAACGGAACTGTTGAAGCTACAATGCCGTGAAACAAGCTATACGAAACATTGACAAATTCTCTTGAGATGTGTAGCAAAAACGCCAAGTCATGCTACTCCACTAGCAGCCATTAAATAATAACTACATGCGCATGATCAAATTAGATGGTCAGAAAATGACAACAGGCCAAAAACAAATCACACAACAAATCAGATAAAACTGTAAGCTGTATTTGCATATCTATAGTTTAGTGTTCATTACATAAAACATGATTGATTTCTGTTGTTACACTTTGCTACAACAAAAAAACAGTAGCATCGGTTGACGCTGCCTTCGGCTGAGCCTAGCTGCACTTTTTACACGTCATTAATTCCGTCAGGCAAGCGGTTCAGCCACTGAAATTATTTAAGCTTACTCTACTTTGCCTTAAGTACTTTGCTGCAAGTCTACTTTAAACGTTTCTCAGCTAAGTAAACTGCATATGGTGTTTTTATAAAATAATTTTCTTCTCAACTTCGAAAATAAATCTACTGGAATTGAATTCTAAAGGATACTTTAAAGAATGGCATGCCCACTTTTCCATTTTCAGTCTACTGTTAGATCAGAGTTGCTCAATCGGTAGCGTTCGACACGAACAGGGTTTGAGTCCTGGTCAGAGAAACTCGCTCTTCTGCTTTTCTGTAACTGGAATTAAAAACTAGCACCAATTTGTAGGAAGCGAACAGCACACAATCATGCTTGCCACATAACTGCTTCGACTCCGCCTTTAAACTTAAACACACCTGGCTGGCCGCAAGGAAATTGAGGACA